AACAGCCCATTTTAAAATTTATTCCTCCCTATATTTACACAAGAACAGTTCAAGATATTTCCACTGATTTTTCAAGTTACTTGCCAGATAATTTTTTGAAACATTTCATTGTTAGTACCATTGCTGTAAATATTTGTAATGTCAAGTGTTTCAACTGAAAACATAGTTCAATATTCTGGATGACTTTGAGAAAAGAGGAGAGAGAAGCATGACTGTTCATGTCACAAAAAAAAAAGTGATTCTAAGTGCTGAAGCTCTGAAGTAATCTTGAATAATTCTCTTCTGATCTTTCCAGATTATAAATTCAATTTGGTAGCTGACTTTCTTATGCTTTCCACTTTACCTTGGTTATTTTTTTATTGATAATTTAAGAAATTTATTGTAGTGTGTAATTTACATAAAAATGACAAACAGTTTTGTAGAATAATCCATTATTTTTTCCTATGTAATATAGAAATATGTAAAAATGCAGCTTTTTTGGTTCTACCTTTTTCTTTTTCTTCTGTCTAGAATCCCTGGAAATTATATCCACTGCAGCAAGTCATTCCAATAGTGCAATAAGAAAAATGGTAAATGATCTTTGTTTTCCTGTTCATTTTTTAATATATTATATTTCAGTATTTGGTGAAGCTAGAAGTATAAATTGCAAATCTTCCCACAAAGGGGAAAAATGGGTTTCCTGGGTCCAAGTGATTGCTCCTACTTAATGTATTTATACAGCTCCTGTGAATGATAGACAAAATTTGGCATTGCACCTAGTTCTTTCAAGTGGAAGATGGGACACACACTAGGTTTCTCTCCTGGCTCAAACAGCTGACACTACACTGGACTGTTAACCTTACAGAATCACAGAATGTTAGAGATTGGAAGGGACCTCGAAAGATCATCTAGTCCAATCCCCCTGCCGGAGCAGGAACACCTAGATCAGATCACACAGGAACGCATCCAGGCGGGCTTTGAATGTCTCCAGAGAAGGAGACTCCACAACCTCTCTGGGCAGCCTGTTCCAGTGCTCTGTCACCCTCACCGTGAAGAAGTTTTTTCTCATATTCAAGTGGAACCTCCTATGTTCCAGCTTGAACCCATTGCCCCTTGTCCTATCACTGGATGTCACAGAGAAGAGCCTGGCTCCATCCTCCTGACACTCACCCTTTATGTATTTATAAACATTGATTAGGTCACCCCTCAGTCTCCTCTTTTCCAGGCTAAAGAGACCCAGCTCCCTCAGCCTTTCCTCATAAGGGAGATGCTCCATTCCCTTCATCATCTTTGTGGCTCTTTGTGGCTCTTATTTCATGTGTTTCTGTCAGTGCAAGGATAATGTTTGTAAGGAGTAGTTACTGTTTGTCTACCATATTGGGCTAGCATGATAGGTACTTCATTAAGTATTTGAGATATTTTGGATAAGAAATAATGCAGGCTGTATGTATAATGGTATTTTTAAAAATACCATGGAGATAACATTTCTAAAAGTACTTGTTAATGTATCAACTAAGTTTATCAGTCTGTATGGCTGACCATACATACTGGGTACATGTGTTCTCCAGACTTACACAAGTTCCCATCATTTGTTTTAAATGTGCTTAAAGATCTGTGCTTTTAATTAATAAGTTTTATAACTATACTTTCACTGTAAAGGAGAATCTAAAGAAATTGTTGGAGATCTATGAGATGCTGGGAGAAGAGGAAGATATTGTGAACCCTTCAAATGAACTGATAAAAGAAGGACAGATCCTTAAACTCGCTGCTCGCAATACATCTGCTCAAGAACGGTATCTTTTCCTAGTAAGTATGGTGGCCTGCATTTGCAGGAGTGGCTGTATACCTTTCTAGACTTGAAAGAACTACTGAAGAGAGGGGGAAATCCTCTCTAGTTGATGTCAATGCCTTTCCACTAGTGATATTAGAGCATGAGTAAACCTTATACTGCTTACAGAAAGGCTTGCAAACACCATTTAGAATAGAATACATGGTTTAAAATAAAGGGAACCAGTGTCCAGCAACCCACTTTTAAGCAGCAGCTGATTACAAATGCAGGTCCTACAGTGTGACAACTTTGATGTTCTCCTGAAACTGAAATGTAAAAGCTTAGCGTTTTTGTCCTGATTGATTGCGTGTGTTGGGGTCCCAGTAAGTCGTATGGTTCTGTGGGAGTTTATTATCATGGCAGATCATCCTCCCGTCAGGTGCCTGTGTCCTGTCTCGGAATTAACAAACTACAGCCCTGCTCCCTTACAACTCCCTTGGAAAAGGTTTGATGTAGTTCGTTGTTTCCCATGCATTAGAAATTGCCAATACATTTTTGCTTAAGGGCCTCTGGCATTGCTTATCTTCTGGTTAATAAAGACCAGTAACAGGTTGCTGAGGCACACTACTGCTTGCTTATCTGTGCTCCAAACAAAAAGAAAAATCATTGAATAGTAAGACCTCAAATGGGGCTAGACATCAAGTCCAACCGTCAACCCAACACCACCTGACTCACTAAACCATGTCTCTAAGCACCACATCTACACGTTTCTTGAACACCTCCAGGGATGGTGACTCCACCACTTCCCTGGGCAGCTTGTTCCAATGCCTGATCACTCTTTCAGTAAAGAAATTTTTCTAATACCCAGCCTAAACCTCCCCTGGTGCAACTTGAGGCAACTTTTTCATCCTATCACTTACTACTTTAGTGAAGAGGCCAGCACCCACCTCACTGCAACCTCCTTTTACGCAGTTCTAGAGTTGTAGTTTTTAATCCAGCAAAGTGTGTTCCTGTCTAAGCC